GCCCATGCTTGACTCATACAGAAAAGATTGCTACGTAATCCCCTGGACAACAGCTTCTACAGTAGCTTTATTAAGAAACAATGTCGATGACATAAACTCATTCTCTTAATAATTTTAGATTACCTACACTGTTGTATTAAATATTTTCCCTTATCTCGAAAGCAGTAGACTTATAGCTGCATACACCAAATATACATTCAGTTCATATAAAAAATGGAAATCGAAGAATTGAAATACCAAGTTGCTAATAATCTGAACTGTGTTTCTAGAGCGTAAACAAATTTAACTTAGAATAAAAACCAGTAGACCCGTTAGGAAATAATGCTAAAAAAGAAATTTACCAAACACACAACTTAAAACTTGATCCTGTCGTCTTCTTCGTATGTTATATTCTCAACCTGAATGCTGTACTAACAATTTTTCCTGAAAAACAAATATTTACGCTGAAATAACACCTTCGAAATTATCGTTTATGTACTTTTGTGCTTTCAAGCATCAGTGAGAAAAGAACTTATCTCTTGCGAGTTAAGGTAATTTCCACTCTAAATAATATAGTTAGTATATTTTGTTTAAATAATAGGAAATACGTACTCTAATATTTTACTACTTGATAGCTTGCTATCTATTAACCTATCTATAACCTGAATACAGAAAAGATCTTTTGCAGAAGTAAACAAAACAGTTTCAATTATGCATAAGGATAACTTGATAATGTTTTTATTGCAGCTTTAAAATAATCATACCTAAGGAAGCCTATTTTCCTGAAGAAATCTTTCTTTTATGAACCGTCTCCCAGTCTCAATTTCGCTTGTTGAATTTAAACTTTGCATTGCATTAAAATTTTTCCTAATCACATTGCATACATACATAAACTAATGAAAGTATTTTATTCTCTCCTTAAAGGAGGATAAAATTATTATTATTACCATTCTTCCTCTGACCACTTCTGTCATTTCCACGCATTTATTTCTTCTATAAACAATCCTAACAGTAACTCACATTCTGTTGTAATTACCACTGACGTTTTGGTGTTTTCTAACTTTCGTTTAAAACATTATTAGCAGTATATAAATAAGTATTAATTATTAGGCAGATTTTTTTCTGTTTTCCATAAATATTTTCGAACGATTATTCGATAGATATTCAAATGGAAAATGACTTCCTGTTGATTAACGTTATAATTAGATGATGATTCGTTGATCGTCAAGGACATTTGAAAAATATTCTAGGCAAAAAATAAATATAATTATTAAGATACTATACCATTGTCTATCAACATTATTATAAACAATGTATAAAATAATATTTATATCTTGAGATTTATTTTCAAGTTGAGTAGAGGAAGTACAATCTATTTTTCGCTTTAAATTCATTTCTATTAACTTTATCTGTTCAACAAATAATCGAAAAATTAGTAAAGCTTAACTGTTAAGCATATACTATTCCAAATCTCTGTTGGAGATCATCCATTTCACCAATTCTTATATGTTCACGCAGTTTTATCGCGTCAGTGAAACAACGGATTTCATTACAAACTTTTGAACTTTGCTGACTTTACTTTTAGATGCCTGTTGGTAGATAGTCAGGCCCTGCGATATAACCGTAATTCCATCCAGGTTTCGCTAGCAATTTGTCAAACTGTCTCCAATATCGTTTCGTCGTTGTAAAACTGCGACAGAAGTTTATTGCACAAACTGGGTCAACTTTGTGATAAATGCCAGGACCTGCTAGCCTAGTTATACACACAGAAGTATATTTAACAATACTATTTTGTTTTTTAACAAAAGTTATGACTTGCAATTGGTCTTCCATATTTTCGTACACCTTTGCTGACGTGAGATTAATACGATATGTGGAGATTGAGCATAGAAATAGTGCTTTAAATGTGGATAAATGTACATATAAAAGTTAAAGTGTGTCGGTTCGGAGTTGTTTCCGTTCGTTAAACCCTGCTGCCTTTTCTGTACACAAATGTGTGTTGAAATCTGAAGGTAAACGCAACCGATAGAACATGGAATGTTGATTACCTGGGAGTGTTTTTACTTCATGAGTTGTCTGACTTACGATTAAAGCTACGTGACAAGTCTCCTATTCCTCTTTCTTATTACTCCTTCAGCAGCCGCGGCTTATTCTACATATATTGTATAGATATACATATGTACCGTAACACCTAAAGAAACGCCCAGATTTCACGTACAAAACAAGGAAAACAGGTGTAAATTATTCGTCGAACAACTCGTTATTACAACTATTACTGTTTCTGCTTCTAATATGTCTCTGACTAACCCTTCATGCCTGAAAAGGTGCCCTACCAACCTATCTCGTCTATTTTTTATTGACTTTGACCATAGAGTCCTCTGTTCTCCTATTCCTTCTAATACCTCTTCATTTTCAACCCTCTCTATCCACGGTATCCTCATAATTCACCTGCAACACCAAATTTCAAATGCTTCTAATCTTCTCTTTTCCGCCGTGCCCTTTTTCGGGACATACTTCAACAATCTTTTTCGAATTTTTAACCTGACTTACCTAACTTCCTAGATATCGAAAATAGTATTTGAAATAAAAAAGTTATGTTTAAGTGTTGAAGAAAATCATACTTTAGAGTGAGATGAATCTAATACTCAAATTCAGCATAATCGCATTAGTCTTATGTTGATATACATATGTTTAAAATTATTGAAGAACTGACGCTCCCTTCAAATACTACTCAGGAACACCACCCTCTATTCATTTCTGCAAAAATCTCAGATGGCCCATTTCCAAAGTCAAATTCAATTAGATCCTTTGTCAATATTATAAGAGAATGATACCTCATAATAATAGACAAAGCGCCCGTATGTACAACGAACCCCGTAAAAACAAACCCGCACAAGAATATTGGGTGCAGTAACTGACTAATATTTATTTAAGCAAAACAGGGGATGAAACCGGCATATTTATTTGAAATAGATTATTTTATACTAAAAATCCAATGTAAAAAATGCGCTGTACGTTTAATTTTGTTTTAATAAATTGCAGATTGGTCTGGTTCCTGGTGAAGTCTTGGAGATTGTGATCCTATTCTTGATATTGATTTTATGGATTAAATAATGATCTTAACCCTCATTTTAAATGTAGACCAAATTTCATACGACTTTGTTCTTCATTAATGTACATAGAACACTGACGCAACAAGTTGGTATCAAACAAAATCCTTCATAATCCACGACACCTACTGAAAACTACTAAATTCCTTAACCAACAAACCAATTTTCGTTATGGGACGAATGTTTCCTGCAAGAACAACCATGCACCTCATCGTCGGTAAGTTATCTCAAAAACTGGTAAGATTTTTGTACCCTTTCTTTCGTTTTAAATCGTTATTGTTACAGATTCATTCCCAGTTTCTGCCAAATACAGTAAATGCCCTATTGTTATTTTAAAATCCTTTATGTTCTGATTCCAGTTTGATTTGAGAACGGTCAAACAGAAGAAGCCCGAAGTTTGTGAGCTTCCTCTTTTATTCGTCCAAAACTTGTGAATCTAAGTCATAATAATGAAAAGCCTTTTTGGAAATATGTACGTAAGATTAATTGAGTGCAATTTTGAAATCAGTTTCAGTATTTAACGTTTTAATTGTTGCAAGTGAGTCGATAGCTACCTTACACTCCTTAGATTGTTTTGAAAACTACATATCTTAATTTGTATTTACTTAGAAATATTGATTGATTTAATAGATGGAAGAGTTTGCTGTTTTCGCTAAAATTGTCTTACATTTTTCCGATAGTTCTTCGTATATTCGTAAATTCGAAAAGGCAAAACATTCAAAAGTTAAACTACGCCATTTTTATGGTTCAATTGACAATGTCACTGAAATGCAAGAGAAATATAAATTACAGGTAGATAATGAAATATATACTTTGTAACAATCTGTATGATCCTGCAGCTTTTCACAGTATCTATTTGCTACATTACTTCTCATAGCGGTTTACGTAATTGCACTTTCCCATCTAGAATTATTTCATTTTCAAAATATCATTGGGAATAACTATGTATATATAATAACCTCTGGTATACATTGTCTAACTAAATTCTTCGTTCTCATCACTTTGAAGCAATGACGCGGATCAAAAACCTACTTTTGTCTTTATAGTGTTATGTTGTTAAAGTCCATACGCGGATCGAATTCATAAATGATGTTGTAGAAAGAAATAACTGTAATCGAACCTTTACTACCTCTTGAAGTCATCTGCAACGGTCAACACCAAATACCAGTACATACAATAGACATAATAGAGTTTGCGTTTTTCTTTTTATGCATTTTATTTAGGTAACACTTATAATTACAGTTCAAAATTGACATAATACATATAAAAAGCCAGAAATTCTTACTAAGGGAGTTACGTGAGATCAAATAGAGAGAAAGACCTCAATTGTGGACCTATTATCAGAAAAAAAAGAAAAATGAACAAAACCATACAGTCCTAGTGCGAAGCCAATTCTATTGATATGATAGATAATCCTAAATCCTCACTAATTAAAAAAAGAAACTAAAACCTTCACATAAAAGAATACGAAAAAAGCAACTTTAATTACAACTAAACACGAACCAAAAAAAAAAAAAATAATGTTCCTAAAGTTAATTAAAAAGAGTGCTTCGAATACGTACTTACTAGCCAACCCTTTCAATACCTATTTGGTAAACCCATCAAAACAAAAAAAAGTAGGCGAGCGAGTTAAATAAGCTAAAACAAATTAAATGTTCACAATTTTTTTTATGTATTTGTGTTACACCTATAAGTCCCTGGCTGAGAAAGAAATTGGGTTTTACGACATACGCACGAACTCAAAAGCACGTCTTACAACGCAGAAGGCAAAAGAAAAGGTCGAATAAAGCCACCCTTATTTGGGTCAATGGTTATTCCCTGGAAAAGAAATTTAATTCTATTTTTAGAATCCACCTGAGTCTGAATAGCACAACAAAAAATTTATTTGATTAGAGAAATATCTTTTGTTACTGAATTATGTATAATGGTTCTTTTTGAAAAATGTTTGCTTAATTTTATCAGAAATATGGGAACTCGATTGCAAATAAATGTGACCCAGCCACTGAATATGGATATGAGAAAATGGTGTTAATAGTCGTTCGACTATCCGGTATTTATTTATTATCTAAAGACGATCCTAATCAATATTCTGGGTTAAGAATGTGATTGTCCCACCCACTGTGACAAGTCGTGGTTAAAATAACTGTGGTTTACGAATTACCTTCATCGTCGGGTTCATTATACATTTTTAATGCATACCTACTGTCTCTACATTAAAATAGAAATCTGGGACATCCTAAAAATTTTCCTTGGGAAATATTACTTTTTGCGCTTTCCGCTTTTCCGAATTTCCCCGAGTGTATTTATTCGCCACCTACAGTTGAAATCTTCCACTAAATATATTCCCTGAAACGAATAGTGTACTTTTATGCTCCACCTTACCGAATACTGAATTTATGATCGCTATTGAAACCTAGATGGCAGCAGCAGTCTAGCAAGGTTAGAGCAGCTGTAAAATGGTGGATTATACGGTAGTAAGATTCAGAGGGCGGGGAGTTTACTAGGTGCTCGAAATGATAAGAGTGTCGTGTGTTTTTGATAATTTAAACGGTTTCAAGTTCGTGGTTTGAATTATTAAAGCATCTATAAATGTTTTAACGATATATCGTGAAACTGTTTTGGTGTTAAATGTAGGTGTTGCAAGTGACAGCAGTAATAAGAAGTAAACACTTTAAGCATTCGTCTCTCTTTCTCGCACTTTAAATGTACTATCGTGCTGGTGAAAACGTGTTAAAAGCTTTAAAACACTGGACTAATTTCCACAGCGTACCTACGTGTCAAAATAATTACTTGAATGGTAAAAGTGAAAAAAATTAATTGAGAATTGTGTGATAATAAGAAAGAAAAATCGATCCAGATTAATGCATTATCTCAGTAAGGATAAGGGCGCAAGTTCAACCCTATCACCACGTTGTTGCCATGCCTTAAAGTAGAATATGTGGTTCATATATTATCGAATAAAAAGTTATTTAATTAATTAATCCAATTTTGAAAAGACTATCAAAGAAAAACATGGCATAGTAGTGTATGTAGGTGAATACCTAATCCTAAATAGGATGTTGCTAGATTCCCTTTCTCTGATGGTGACTATACTCTCCTGATATTAACACAGCAGTAAATCAAATAATAAAATATGCGTATGTCAATTCATCGTGTTACGAAAACATCTACTGCTAACACAATGATGCGAGTTCCCGTTAAGAAAAAAAAAGTCGAGGCTAAAGCGATAGACTCCATTTCTGAAACGATTTCCTTTGTTATCAAAGGTAAATTAACGTCGCTTAAGCCAACTGTTTTAACTAAAAAACAGATGAAAATAAAAGCCATGCCCAATTCATCTAAAAAAGTGAAAATCACCAAAAGGAAAGATAAACTCATGAAATACAAAAAAGTTCCCGAAATGAAAAAAGCTAATACGAAGAAGAAGGCCGAAAAGGAGAAGGAATCTATGTCTAACATTGACAAACTAATACAACAGAAACAAAGTCTTGATGAACCTTCAGTGGCTGCCAATAAAACAGGCATAACTGAAAAAAATAAAAAAGGGAAAGAAGGGAACTCTGTATCTAAGAAAACAACCCCAAAGATCGCAAAGAAAAAAGTTCAGAATAACACTGAATCCTTAAATTTGTCCGATTTAAAAGGAGCGAGTCGACAAATTTATGCTGATAATGCTAGCAGGGAAGAAGAAAAATCTCCAGAAAATACGAGTAATATTAGCGATAAAACAAATACAAAGAAAAAGGAAAAAGCAGATGAAACTACTCCACAGAGATCGAAAAAAATAAAAAACAAGACCAGACAAGCAAATAAAATGACAGTTAAGTGTTTAAAAGGCACAAATAAAGAACCACATCGCAAAGAAATTCCGTTCAAGAGAAACATGAGGAACAAAATAAAAAAGGAACGCCTGAGTGGCGATGAACTTTCTAACAGTTCCGACGAAATCAGTTTAGTTTCACTCTCTCAGCAAAGTTCAGAAAGACCCGAAGTCAAGAGCGAGAACATCGAATCGTCTCGTCAAGAAGCCGATAAGCTTAAAAACTTTACGAAACAAAGCATCAACAAGGCAAAAACAACCCCAAGGAAGCAGAAACCAACTGTTCAAAGCAATTTGAAGAACACCCGAAAAATGCTTATGATGAAAAAGAAAATGTTGACTAAAGATAAGGAAGAAAACAAAATGCATAAAATGAAACTTCTTGGATTATGGAACGGACCAAGGCGACATCGAGTGGCATCTCTGAATGCTCTTGCCAAAGTGCATTGTCTCTACGAGAACGAAACTCGTAGTGCGTTTCTGGACGATGCCAAAAAGGTGGTTTATGTAAAGAAGGAAAAGGATCCCGAACCAAAAGAAATAGAAGATTCTCCACCTCCCATGAGAAATCTTCGCGCTGCTCCACGTCTAGGATCCGTAGGAAAACATTGGGATATGCACGAAATGTCGTCCTCCAGCTCTGAAGACAACGATAGCGTGATAGAACAACCGAAAGTTAAAGCAGTCCTGAAACGAATCAAACAGGAAGCTGAAGTAGAAAGAAACGAAGAAAAACAAAAAACAGAGAAAAAACGCAGAAGGAATAGAACTGAAATTATAATGGATCTCAAAGACATGGTGGTACGGAAACGTATGGCCAGTCTAAATGCAACTGCTATCCTAGCCGCCAGCTACTCCACCGAAAAGAAATCTTCAAAAAGTTCTAAGAGTGACGACACCGACTCGAGCGATTCCGACGAATCTTTTGTCGTTAGCAAAAGCGAATGTAAGAAAATTGAAGAGGACATTGTAAAAAAGGAGGAAGAACCTCAAGTGATCGAACTTCGCGCTACACCCAACAAGAAAGTGTCTGTCATATTGAATCAGGATACTGACGTAACCATCACCGGAGTTTACGTTAACAGTACGACCAGATCAACACATCACGAAGGATATTGCAGCATAGCAGGCATGCAATACAGAATATCAGCCACGAGTCATACTCAAACTGCAGCGGCAGCTATGACCACTGAAAATTTACTGCAGTCTCCGAGTGTGTCTGAAAATGTAAGTAAATAGACAAATTAATTGCTATCTTATACGTAAATGAGTGTCAACCAATCACGCTAAGCGTCATGGGAGAGTGATTATGATATTTCCAAAGGGGTTCAAATAGAAATCAGTAAAATTATCATGATTTTACATTGAAATCAAGTAGATCGGTTGAGTCTAATTTAAAAAAGTTTCCAATTATGAAATTGTCGAAAGCATGTTATCCTTTCAGAACATTGAAGAAAATATTTCGCCTGTTTGTAAGTCGTACACCCCATTAGGGGCACTGTCAAATATGAAGCCCCCGGGAGCGCCAGACAGCCAGCATGGAATGGCTCTGGGTCACTCTCCTCATCATCTCGGTCTTCCCCACATGGTACCCGTAGGACCGTCGCAACACGGACCACCAGCACATCTATCTCCAGCAAACCGACGACACGTCGGTTGTACCAGCGCATTCTCAGCTCCTCCATCGGGACACTTTGGCGCGTCTCCTGGACATCCGGTGGCTGAACAAGGATACACTCACGGTAAGTCTTTTATTTTGGCCATTACCCTAGTAGGAGAAAATTTTTGGTGTTGATGCAATTATTTGGTGTTTGACGAAGAATTCGAATATAAGTGGAGTCCAAATAAGATTTTTACTTAGGTCAGATGCGAAACTGACGCATATCTTGTACGTCTTCATTTGTCTTTTTCAATGAAACCAATTCTATAAAGTTGACGAACTTCTCGAGTATCTCTTGTAACCGATTAAGAAAAAACCCTTACAAATCCGCACTGATCGGGCTACCCCAATGGTGAACGACCCTAAGGATTTACCTTATTGTCCTTGTCGGAGGGACATGCGCGTGTTGCGAGGCCACAGAAGATCCAAACCGTTCGTTCGTAAGTGGGCCAGCAATCCGGGAAACTTCGGCTCTTCCCGACTCTCTGAACCTTCCATGCTTCGAAGAACTCTCTAGAGCTTGACGAGATCCGTGGTCCGTTGTGCGTCTCTCCACTTGCGGAATCGTGAATTCGCGTCCGTTTACAACTGACATGTTTTCGTCGCTATCGGCAATACGCCCGATCGGTGGTTTTGTGTTTATTTCGCGGTGGTTTACGTGCTGTCGTTGTCGTTTATAATTTGCCGCATTCGCCGAACGTTTTGACGTTTGTTTACCATTTGCGTGCGCACTCATGGTGTTGTTATTGTGGCGTAGATTCCTGGAATTACGTGCTGATGAGCTCGCCGGTGAAAATTACATACATGTAGCTACGTCGTAACGGTCGTTTAGTGTTCTTTTTCACTGGGCGCCGTTAATTCTGTTATTCAGATGTGATTGGATATAAAAAGAGTGCACCAATGGTGATCAAAACTATGTTCTTAACTAAAACGCATACAGGTAAGATCTGCGACTGCGAATAAGTGCAGAAGTAAGATAATACCATTACACAACATTTAGTCAAGTATCTGGCGTACCTGTACTTATTAGACCTGACAGGGTCCAATTTAATTTTGAAGAATTACTACTAAAGAAACCGCTGATAACCATAAGCTTATCTAATAAAATAATTCGAAGTGGTCTGTATTCTGTCGAAACTGCCAGACGCGGATCGCGATTTCGATCTTTTTGGATCTCATCAGCGCGTCGCAGGCAGCTCCGACAGAACACAGACCAACTTTTACCTGCTGTCTTAACAGTGCGTTTTAGAAAATACTACGTATGGCGCAGTAAACGCCATCTGTAGCACGATGCTACATTTTAGGATTACGTATGCTCCAACAAGGTCCACTTGTGTGGATATCTATTTGCTGAAAACGAATCCCGGCGTAGCCAACCTCAACGTGATAGGCACGTTAGCTTAATCGAATAAAATATATTATATATAATTGTGCTACAGATGGCGTTTACTGCGCCATTCGTAGTATTTTCTATAAGCTTATCTAGATCATCTCGTTTCTATAAAAATAGCTGCACTGTGAAGGAGAATGTAATTGTTAAAACCGCAATATAATCAGCACTAGAAACGCGACCGTCTCCCAACAGTATGTAACAGCAGTCGTCGCACTTCAACCGATATTGGTATTGGGAAGGTGTTTAGATCTTGGTACGCCGCACGGAATTCCCCTGATCCACGTTTTCCACTCTTGCAAAGTATTGAAGTCACCGGTTAATGACACTTTTTATTTAGTGCATACCACATCGGATTTGCTTGTCGTAAACATCCCATCATAAATCCCCCTAAGTTGATTAAAAGTTCAGCAATTTTCAAGTATAAAGGATCTAATAAGAACAATCTCCTTATAACCAGTTGCTTCATTTCCCAAACGATTCTCACCGTTTCTTAAATACAGAATCTCCAATTGGTTAAGAAATTAGGAGAAATATAATGAATTATTGATCGTTTATACGGCAATTAAATCGTTACCGAATTTTATCGTGTGTAGTCTTCGTCTGTAAATTGAATTTCTTGAACCGTTTTCCGCTGGCACGTCAACTTGTTTTGTTAAGAATGGGAATTGTGCCAACGCGAACTTATCGTTTTAGAAAACTATGTGATTAAGATTAAATTCGAAACTAAGTACCTACATCGAAATCGTTCTTTGGTTTGTTGAAATAGGTTTACATAAATTGATATACATATAGTAAACATAATATTCCAAAAGTATTTGTAATAGATACGTCAAGTATTCCATTTTTTTGCACAACTGTAATAATCACCATCATAAGGTCATCAGTTCTAAGTCACGCACCTCCACACTTTCCTTTCCTGAACGAATCTTCGCATTTCCCTAAAACTAAACATTCCAAATCCTTAACTATTTATGAACAGTAATCTAATGTAGGTATATTTCTATTCTTCTTAATTCATTTTTCTGCCTCTAATATGTCTAACTAACTAGCCCTTCATGCCTGAAAAGGTGAAATCAAATGGGATTGAAATCGCGATCCACAGTTAGTGATTTTGATAAATTATTGAATGAGAACACAATTCGTTTTATGTTTTAGTTACTTTATACGTACTTACTTAAAAAATTAATTATTCTGAAACTTTGTTTTCAACCTTCTTACTTACAGCTTAAATTAATCTTATCTATTTAAATTTTGAGGTAGCTGAAATCTACTGAGTAATGAAGTTTACTTGAGCAATTAATTATCATAGACTAAGTAGTTGTAAGAAACTTCAACTGACCCACTTCAAGTAGCAACCTCATTTTGAATAGATGTCTAGTCCTATACCTGCAGAGCATTTGTACTTACAGTTCACAGGAATATGATTTCATGAACATTTCCTAGTAACTAATGAGTATACCTACGTTTGAATTCGACAAAGTTTTAATTGAATCTAAAATAGTGCCTGCTGGTTGCTGCTTCAACAAACCAACAACTTGATTCTAGTTTTTGATCATCACACACGTGCCATAACCGCGTTCGCTTTTCATATCGTTAATGTTTTATTATCGTTATCTATTTGAGTGTATACGGTTAAAATTTTTTACAAACTTTGCAATTCAAGTGTGAGAGAATATCATGACGTAATGCTTTCAGTCTAATTAATTCGATTATTTATTATAATACAGTCAACTGTACCACTGATCGACATACTAGCAACAACTAGCAATAGTCTTCTAATAAAATATTTTAAGTGATAATTAAATAGTTGAATTTTGAAAGATGAGACACCGTGGTCAATGGTACATGTATATTTTACCATGCCGTAACCTTGTCTAATCCCTTGGTGCATACAACTTATCCAGAATGTTGCATCCTCAAACGAACTGATTTCCATTACAAGTATACCTGCCTATTCTAGAACCACGGTTGTTAGCATATTATTAGGTTTATGTATATAGTGGAACCACCTAACTATTCAACTTAATGCTGCTATTAGAATAATTTACATTAAAGGGAAATTGGGCTCGGAAATCACACACAGATGTCTAGAGGTCTAGAGCATCAATACCTACAATAATTTTTTATTTCGTTTCTCTACGGATTTCTAATAGCTTCCGTGCATAAACTGATCACAAACAAAGGTATGAAAGTAATAATTACACCACGATTATCTATTGAATTATTTATTTTAATTCTACACATAACTGCATCGATTTATTTTATCGTTTCTGAATTATTACCTATAAGATAGTCATCTGCTTGGCCAGGAAATTAACAACGCGTTCTTTAGACAGTGACGAGAACATAATGCCTTTGCGTCCTTTTAAAGGCTGTCGTCCTCGCGTGTTTATGCCTGCAAAGAAAATTAATGTATATATCAATACATCCAAGCGATATTTCAACAATTAAGATAAAACAATGAGAATGTCATTACTTAGTTTTTAGTTCTAAAGTAAGAATGTTTTTGTTCAATTGAATGTCGTTATTAATAACTCGTAGTCGAAAAGTTTTCCTTCAATTTAGGAAACTTACAGGTACTTATGATAAGCGCACTCTTCAAATTAGGACTACAAAACAGTTAAATTCTTTGATAAGATTCACTTATAATTAAGAATTTCATCAGAATTCCAGGGCATTTGTTATCACATTTTTTTTAAATTCATGAGGATTTTTTTATTAAAATGCAACAGTCACAAAAATGTCTACCGATAATTTGGAAATTGCGAACACTAAATTAATTAAGGAAAATTACGATTACATTAAAATGACTGGAAAATAATAATTCAATATTAAGCAGTATCAAGGGGCTTAGCACCCCATAAATAAGCGTTAGATCCGCTGACAAATTATCGCATAGGTGTAATCCTTCTGTAAACGATTCACAGAGCTTACATAAAAAAAACTTTTGTGGGACAAGAAAAACTTCCACTGGAAAATAATAATTGAACATTGAACGGTTCAACACCTCATTAATGACCCTTAGACCCGTTGACAAATTATCGCATAGGTTTCATCCTTTAATGAATCAGTCACAGAGCGTAGATACAAAAAATTGTTGTGGAACAAGGAAAACTTCCACTGGAAAATAATAATTGAACATTGAAGGGTTGAACACCCCATAAATGACCATTAGACCCGCTGATACATTATCACATAGGTATAATTCTTCTATAAATGAGTCACAGAACTTAGATAGATTAGGAAAACTTCCACTGTAAAATAGTAATTGAACATTGAGGATTTTAACACCCTATAAACCACGTTTCGACCCACTGACCGTAGGGGTTTTTTAGGGCAGATAAAGGGAGTGAAGCTACTGTTTTAAATATATTGATACAGGAATCTATTTTGTTTCAATATTTTCTCAAACAGTGTGTGGTCTATTAGCAACAATGGATTGTAGTCAAATTCAGAAAAGTTCGTCCGTTCTTTGGTCCTAAGCATTTCCACGAAATATCCGTTGGAAAAGTTCTTTATTAATCGGTTGGTCTTACGCAGTCCAATAATTTTCAATGGTTTGATGCGATCGGTAATAACTCAGGCAGAAAACCGAAGCCAAAAGAGATCAAAACATCTCTATCAGCACTCTCGACCTTACCGCAGGCCAGCTGCTGCTCTCGTTTGTGACAGCTGCTCGTTGTCTGCGA